TATCTTATATGGTAAAACAAAACTCAAAACTAAATGTGTCATGCGATGTACCAAAATTGCATGAGGTTTTAGGGAATTAACTGACAGTTACTCAAGAGAGGAAAGGCAAAAGTGTGTTTTGGTTTTGGATTTTTTTCTCTGTTTAAATTACTAGTAAACAGAAAGAGGCATACAACAGAGAAATCCCATTGCCCACTACCTATTGCTCTATAATCATGGAAGCTAATATATGCAGATTTACATATACTGTATTTTGAAAATTTTACAGTCTTATAATCTTCTGAGTAAACCTGTTTGGTTCATTTTCAGAAGGGTCACGAGAATTACCTTAAAGCCAGTTTGCCAGTAGAATTCTTTAATGGCTCGCATCATGACTACTCCGACCGGAAGAGTCGCATTTTCCACTTCCTTTCCTGTAGATGTCTTTATAAAATCAGAACCTGAAAGGAAGTAAAGATCTTTATGGTGGTTTTAGAATGAGAACCACTGTGCATATGTGCACTTCACACCCTCCAAGGATGTCCTCATCCTTCTCAGCAATTACAAAGCATCCCTTTCACACATCCCTGTGGAGTCCATGTTAACTTTGCACCTGCAAAGACTAAAGCAGGAAGGTGAGATACCCATCTGGTTTCAGAATAACTCAGACATCCCAGGGGCTAAATGAATATCTCAGATCTTAATTCTCTGCTCTAGAAATCACATCAACTATCCTTTCAATAAACTCCAATATATTACAAGGGCTGCTCCAAAACTAATGCCTATTTTACTAAATTGACTCACAACATCAGAAACTGATGTTGGTGGTATGGCAGTAGAGGTTGAACCTTACCACCAATATTCTATTACATTTTGTTTCCATCTGATAGATAGCAACAGAGGGGCAATCTAACAGAATGGTATCTGATACGGAAGTGCATATGAAGGAAAGATGTGTCACTGAATTCCTCCATGTGGAAAAAATGCCAGCCATTGACACTCGTCGATGCTTGCTGAAATTTTATGGAAACCAAGCAGCAGATGTGAGCACAATGAGGCAGTGGGAGGTGCCAAGTTCTGGACAGCCGCGCTAAGCTGTCACACCATGAAATGAAGAACACCTCTATCAGCTCGTCTGTATGTAAATCTGTAGGTTACAACTGCAGACTATGTTATTTATGTGTACGATTCAGCTTCAATGCACTGGAAACGATGGTGGCAATGTTGGAATATTGCGGAGTTTGCACCAGGTGGGTCTCATGAATGCTCAGCGAGGAAGAGAAAGATCATCATATTAAGGTTTGTCAAGACCTACTGAACCAATATAAGGCTGAAGGTGATCACATCATTGCTGGTGACAAGAAGTGCTGTCATTACTATGAACCAGTGTCAAACTGTCAGTCCATGGAGTAGCCACACTGAATTCCCCATCAAAGAAAAACAAGATGCAATGTTCAGCAGATAAAGTGATGTGCACCATCTTCTGGGACAGAAAAAGGGTAATCATTCTGGATTTCCTGGAACTTGGACAGATTGTCAATTCTGACCGCTATACCATGATGCTGACTAAGCTGAAGGCTCAAACTTGCAGAGTCAGGCCAGAGAATAAGATAACTTTACTCCTGGAACATGATAACACCAGGCCTAGAACTGGTTTGAAGACTGAGGAGCACACTGCCAGCCTTGGCTGGACTGTCCTACCACACTCGCTGTATAGTCCAGATTTGGCGCTCTGTGACTTTCATCTTCTCAGGCTGATGATAAAGATGGGTCATTTTCCTAGCAACGATATCATCACAGCAGCTGTGAAACAGTGGGTCACCTCTGCTGGTGCAAATTTTTATGAGCACAGCATGCAGACTCTTGTTAATTGGTGCCAAAAATGCGTAGCGAATGGTGGTGACTATGTTGAAAAAGAGTGCCTAGTAGCTGAGAATCTGCTGTATTGAACAGTGTTATTGTGCTCTTTGTGTCTGTTGTAGCTTCCACAGAAATAAATAGGAGGCATTATTTTTGGATCAACTTACATATATGTTCCTGAATGGACATACATTATATATGTGTGCTACATGTGTTACATATATGTAAAAGGAAGATAGCAGATTAACAAAAAAAAAAAAAAAGCCAATGATTTTCTCTGAACAAATTTTGCATATAAATCAATATTTTAATATTTCCACAAACATCTTTCAGAATAGAAACAATTTTCATCAAGTTTTTAATACAACTTTTCATCAATTTGATCTCAGATTTGACAGTCTAATATCTTATTTCAAATAGCTGTTTAAAGTGATAACAAAAAAATCCCGTGTGTGTTTAATGAAGCCAGCTGTATAATACCGTAAACAGGGAAACAACTCCTTTCTTATGCACTTTGTAATTGTAACATTGCAAATTACTACATTTAATGCCATGGTCTGATATAATGCAGTAACAATATAAAAAGAAATGTGTTATTTAAAAAGGGAGAGTTAACCTTGACTCATTGTTTATTTCACGTTTTCTCACTTTTACACAACTTTCCTCACCGTCTGTTCTGAATACTTATGTAGTTTTCTTGTACCTTCCCGCTGTTCTGGGTGGGCTTAAAACAAATTCAGCAGTGCAGTATTACAAAAAGCTAAGAAATGAGCAAAAAGAATTGCTTTGCAGCGTCTGATCCTTCACTGACACAATGCAGTGACAAAAGTTCTTTAATTGCAATAGAGCATACTTCACCCCTGGGAACCTACTTCTTCTTATAAAAGGTGTACTGTGGGATCATTCATTATCAAAAGTAATCGTGAGGAGAAGAGGGCTAATTCAAACATAGCGTAGCAGTGCATCATCCACTTAAGTCAATTGGAACTGCATCTGCTTCCACTTCAGGTTTGGCTTAGTCCATTTTGTCTCTTTTTGAATGATGAAGCCTCTATGACATCCCCTAGAGTAAGAAAGGGAACTTTCATTGCTGGCTCAAAGTAAGGAGATGCCTTGACTACATTCTGACAGTATGCTGTAATATGCTCCAGATACCTGTCTTTTTGATGCAGGTTGGCATGCAGCTAGGTTTCAATCTGCTGGGAAGTTGAGACAAAACCATGCATGTTTCAGTGTCCTGCAATTTAAATGCAATTAAACTTCATCACTAACATTGCCTCCTATAAATCCGTGTTTGTTTTTATCTGCAGGTTTCCTGCCCAGGCAGTCAGTGGTGCTTAAGCTGCACCATGCTACAGCATTCCCCATTCAAAACTGAAGTGACTACTCAGGGAACAAGTTCTAGCTGCAAAGAAGTTGCAATACGAAAAAGAGGCAACTAGAAGTTGATTGAGTCTTGCAGGGAACTGAGCACGAATGAGAAATAGTTGAGTTATATATTTCAGAGCTATCCTCTGTCAGAGAGACAGTATGGACATCCGATAGTCACATTAAAACAAATAGTGGAAGTGAAACTTTAACAGTGCCAAATTATACTTTTAATTTCCCTTTTGAAATGCAGCACTTAAAGTTCTTCATTGCAATACTTTTCATTTTTTCTAGTATAAGGTAAGTCAAAGCTTTTATAAGTCTTATAATTACAAGTCTCTATGGTACAGTTTCATTAAAAACTTTCATTAAACAACAGCTGCCCTTGTATATGGTCTTCTAATCAATTTGGTCAAACAGAATGACTTCTAATCAGCTGTTGATAAAAATAGAAGATGAAATTTTAATTCTAATAGATTAACCACAAACTCAAGATAGTCTTCAGAATTCATCTAGCTCTATTCTCCAGTGGATTTAACGACTATTCAGCAACTCATTACTAAATAGAACAAGATGAACATTTTCCAGTTCATTAAAGAAATGTACTATGTATTTTTGCATTGTCCTCATGATTCGTTACAGGGAGTCTTAATTACAAGATAATGGATAATGGTTATTAAATGCAGACTCCAGTAATGAAGCTCTATTCATTTGCGAGCCTCAGAGACTGCAAAGAGGGGAAAATAAAATTACTAGCTTCAAAAGATTAACGGATCAAATTATTATTCAATTTTGAAAATCTCATTCAGACTTCACAGAAACAAGAAGAGATTAAAAACTAGTATTAGTACAAAAGTAGTGCATTTATATATTTATTTTTAAATAATATCTTAAGGCTATTACCAGAATAATCAGCTTTAGATGTGATTATTAGACAAACATAGAGCCAATTTAGTAGCATCCTCTACCAAAGAAAACAATATATTTTTACTTCCTGAACAAATTCTAATCATGATACAAGAGCTTCCATGCAGGACTCCAGGCAGCCTCTCACAGAATTCAGAAGATGCATACTACCAAAGCACTCTGCAACGTGTTATTAAAGTGGAGATTTCAGTAATGAAAAGGGGGATTTAAAAATCAACCGCTGCCATAAAAAGCACCTCATTAAGTAGAATTTATGCCAGCCTTGTAATAACAGAAGTGTTTCATCAATTCTATTTCTTATTCATGTTTTCAAAAACAAGTCTAAGGAATGAAGTTCAGTAGGAGTTTCATCTGGAAACTTAGGTGATGATTTAGAATCCCAAATTTATCACCCATCTTCCCATCTTCCTATGAATATATACATATCCAGGCTGATGTTAAATTACCCCCCAGGTTTCTTGTTGCTTTCCCCTTCATTTGGGTAGGTTACACAAAAGACTTACAAAATGAGTTTTTCCAGATAGACTTGTAGGCCCAGTGAGCCTGGAAGAGGGAATATTTTCACTCTTTTTAACATTGCAACTGCAAAAGTACATTTGCCTTTCAGTGAGTCAGGCACAATTCACTGAATCAGTGAAGAGTGCAGATATCAAATCTCCTATGCAACACAGCACATCAGATGCCTGTTTCTGCTGGACTTGCTGTGAACCCAGGAACAGCACCAAGGCCCAAGCAAGCAAAAAGTGCATCACCTCAATTTAAATGGAGACAGAAATTAGTATAAACCACAAGGAACGTGACCAGTGCAGTCTATACAGAGAAACTGAGTTCTCTACATAGTTGAGAGTCAGGCCACTTGAGCCGTGATCACTGTGCCCTGTGACACTAGCTAGAATATTTCAAGATATTAAAACTCTGTTCCTCTGCTCTCTCACCCTACACACACACCTCAGCTACTGTAGGTCAATGAAGACCATTTAAACCAAGACAGCTGGATTTGCACACGCTGAAAGTAGTGGCTTAAGCATCTTGAACCCACACCTAGAGGTTAAGATGAAGCCCACTGTTTATCCCACATATTCATTAAGCCTTAAGCACCTGAGTGTAGGGAAAGACTTGCCCAAGTCAAGCAATTGGCAGGGCAAGAATTCAATGTCCTGTTCTCCTGAAGGTCAGAATTGAGCTGGCCATCCTACTGCTATCCCCTCCATCATATCAGAACATCACAAAGCTTCCCTGTCCCATGCAAAAATGAAGCAGAGCGTGAGAACCAAATAATGCCACTTAGCTGACAGCATCCAAGAAACATATTACGGTTCCATAATTAAGCAATAAGCAATAATAAGCAGTATGGCAATTGAGGTGTAATCACAACCTTTTGGTTGCAAAGTGCTTCAAATGCCCTTTGGGAACGATTATAACGACAGAGTCTGACTTGTTGCCTTACTCTTAAAAAAGAACGAAGTTGCATCTGGCAGTTTTAAACAATAGTTCGGAGACATATGCTTGCAGAGGGACAATTATGCCACGTTACCTCGTATGTACTTCCAGTGAGTTGAAATGTATCTGGTTGCTGCAACTTGGCTATAACAAAATGTGGCAACATGAGGTAACTCCCTTACAGGACTTCTTAGTCTGGTGGCACAGTCACGCTGTTGAGGAAACAAGTGTAAGCCTCTGTTGTTTGCACTGACAAGGCAGTAGTAATAATATCACTACCAAATATGTATAGAGTTCCACGAGCAAGACATCTTTTTATTTTGGAGTACCTAAAAAAGAGGATCTTAAGATCAAACCTCTGAAAATGAGAGGCCAGGCTAACATGAGCGGCTAATTCTTATTAGCTGAGACATCACATTAGTCCACTGACACATCCTTATTCTACTGCAGTTGCAAGATAAAATATATTTCCCTATAGTTTAATTTTGCCATTTAAGAGAAGAGAATACACATCTGTGACAACATGCTTCAGCAGTAGCTCACTGAGCTGCTTCAGCTCCATCACACATGGCTACTGTGTCAGATCACTTGTTCAGATACCTATGCATCTTTTCAGAGTCTGCAGCTATGTTACCATTTTTGAAATTGCTGGCTTACAATTTGGTATTTTGTGAACTAAACTTTGCAATTCTTTTCTGAAAAGCGCCTGCATGAAGCAAAAAATGAATCAGAACATGGGGCTCCATGTTTAATGTCTGTTTACAAATAAGACAACCTTTCTAATGACCTACCCTATCATCTCAGTTGGTTTTCAAGACTAGAAACGGATGCTTCCTTTCCTGTACACCATCTCTGGTAACAGGCAATCTGCAGGCCAAATAGTGCCCTTAGGAACAATTATGTACACACATGAAGGGACAAATTATTAAGTCCATACTTATGCAAAATTCCCTGTAGGTGATCTCTGAAGGAATTCAGCATTGCTGAATTATGTATAGCTTGCTAATGCATTATTATAGTATCTACCACAGGTCTCCATAGGATACTATTACTTAATTAGTATTAGATTCTTGTGTGTTCATTTAAAATGTGTTTAGAAGGTTCAAAAGAACGATCCATACCACTTTCTTTAGTTCTGCTACAAGGCATTGGCTGCTGTTATTTTTAGAGCATTTCTTTCAAACCAAACCCTACTTGTGCATAGTAAAAGAGAAAAGAAATAATGGACATACTATGACCTCAGTGACCACAGCTGGGATCCCTATCAGTGGTGACACTTGGTTTTAGGCTTCAAGCCACACTAAAGTACAGGAAAAAAACACATGTTCCCAGTCCCCTCCCACAGTACCAAACAGAAGCAGTGTTAGGATGTGTATGAGTGCAGGAGCAGTAAAGGCAGTTATGTGCCTCTGCAGTAATCCTCCCTTGTCCTCTCCAATGAAAAGCAGCAGGATACACTCCCAAGAGCAATGAGTGGGACCACAAAGAAGATTAAGGAATCCCTGTATCATTATCTATTTGTTAAATGTTGCGCTACTTCCCTGAGATTTTTTATGTTATTTATTCAAAAATGTGTACCATGCATTACACTCAAGGGCATTACAGTATACAACCTATATTAACCTTATTTCTTTTTGCAGATGGCAATACTAAAACTGGGTAAGCAGTCTGCCTAATGACACATGACAAGCCAAAGGTAGAACGAATAAATAAACCAATGCATTCAAACACCTAATGGTAATCATACAATAATCACTAAGAAAAAATGTACCTTTCCTCTCAGCTTATCTAGTCCAAGTGCTGTTTATTTCTGAGTTAACAGCGCGGAGAGAGGTGGGCCCATGCCAACCTCATAAAGTTCAACCAGGCCAAGTGCAAGGTCCTGTATCTGGGTCAGGGCAATCTCAAGGTACAGGTTGAGTGGAAAATGGCTTGAGAACAGTGCTGAAGAGAAGGATTTGGGGGTGTCGGTTGATGAGGGATTCAACATGAGCCAGCAATGTGTGCCTGCAGCCCAGAAGGCCAACCGTATCCTGGGTTGCATCAAGAGAAGCGTGACCACCAGGTTGAGGGAGGGGATTCTGCTCCTCTACTCTGCTCTCATGAGACCCTACCTGGAGTACTGGGTCCAGTTCTGCATCCCCCAACACAAGAAGGACATGGAGCTGTTGGAGCGGGTCCAGAGGAGGGACACAAAGAAGATCAGAGGGCTGGAGCACCTCCCCTATGGGGACAGGTTGAGATCTGGGGCCCTTCAGCCTGGAGAAGAAAAGCTCTGAGGAGACCTTAGAGCAGTCTTCCAGTACTTGAAAAGGGCCTATAAGAAAGCTGACTTTTTATAAAGGTAGCGACAGGATGAGGGGAAATGGTTTTAAAATGGAAGAGGGTAGATTTAGACTAGATATTTGGAAGAAATTTTTTACTGCGAAGGTGGTGATACACAAGAACAGGCTGCCCAGTGAGGCTGCGAATGCCCCTTCCCTGGAGGCATTCAAGGCCAGGCTGGATGGGGCTTTGAGCAACCTGGTTTAGAGGGAGGTGTCCCTTCCTACAGCATGGGGCTTGGAACTAGATGATCATAAAGATCTCTTCCAACCCAAACCATTCTATGATCTTTCACAGACTAATGTGTAGAACATGGTTTGCTACCAGTTTGAGCAAGACACAAAACACAGGAGACATCAGTACAAATCTCTCTGCTCTAACATGAGAACATGGGTTCTGCTTGCCTCCGTGCACCCATGCAAAAAGTAAGACTGATGCACGGTGTTCGCCCAGCTGACTAGATCCACGCTATCTCCTCAGCACAACACCCGTGACAAAACAGGAGGGAGGCAGCCATGGCACTTTTATGACGTGAAGAGAAGAGTGGATGGGGCCAAAAGAGTAGCAGTACAATTATTTTAAGAGAGGGATGTTCCATCAGCTACCAAAGTACTTGAAGAGTAGAAGAACCATAAATAACCCAAAATAATTCCAGAATAAAATAGTTCGCAAACTGCACTGTAGAGCTGGCAACAGTACAGTGTTACTGTTGAGTGTAGCTGTAGCACTGCATAAAATCTAGAGGCAGTGCTCTGCAGCATGCTTGGAGGAGAGCCCACAGCAGCAGAGCCGCTCCCAGTTGTTGCCACTGCCATCTTCACTGTTATGCAGAGGCTTCCCTCAAAAAGGAAGTCACACCTTCAGCACTCCCTTCCCACTCCTTGCTGCAAAGATAGCAAAGGATGAATACTGCATAAAAGAACTAAAGGTTATAACAACACATAGTCTTTGTACAGGAATGTGGATCTGGACATGGACTAGGAGGAGAAAGTGACCTTTTCCTGCTTTGGCAGTGTTACTGTCACACAAACAGCACCTACAAGTATGCTGGGTTTCTGAGAAGGAACCACTACATACCTTCTTATCACTTTACAAGTCGTTGCAAAAACAAGTTGCTGCTTTATCAAACAACATAAAGGCTGGTCTCTCCTTTCAGATTAGAGGCAGGCATTCAGATTCTGAACTGAGCTCTGTGCTCTCACTGAGCTGAGAAAAGAAAATGTGGGAGAACCTAGATGTTATTTGAAAATTTCACCCATCAATCTTAACTTAAAAACATTGAATTGCATTGCATGATTTACTTGCTCACACTTTAAATAATCTAGGCAATGATAAACCATCCTAAACTGTGATATAATTAAACCAGCAATGTTCTAGGCATCTATTGGCATTCCTGGCTTTGGATCAATACATCTTAGTCTCTCAAAATGTTGTCTAGTACATGACATTTTACAAACTGTGGCTAAAGCCCTGATATATCTACCACTAATAGCACTAGCACTTGGAAGGAAATAATAAATATCCATGACTGCTTGGAATCATAGCACTACATGGCATTTCACATACCATCTTGTAGCAACCAGATTTAGCTTTGTACTATTTAATGTTGATATCAACTCAGAAATAAATATGTTAACATTAAAACTCAGGTATGCTTACATACTATCTATTAGCCTGTAACAAAATTACTCACACTGAAAGAGCAACTTAAAATCCATTTGGAGATACTCCATACTGAACAATGTAACTAGAAAATTAGTCTGCCTTATTAAGATTGGAAGGTGCTATGAATTTAAAAGATTAAAAGAAAAAACACATAATAGAGACAAAATCATGACACTTCAATGTCACTTTGAGTGTTCTTCAACACTTCGTAGCAAAAGCAGTTTAAGATTCTGTTCTGACTCCAACCCAGAGGAAGGCGCGATTGATTTTTGAAATTTAAAAGTCATGTCTTAATGCCACAGTCAGAACCTGCTCAGCATCCATCCTCTTTGTTATGCAGAAGACAAATATCCAGCATCGGCTGCTCAGCCATTTTGACCCTACTCAGAAGAAGGCAGCTGGCACAGGCAGAGGCTTTTCCAGCACTTCTGCGTTGGGGAGATTTTCATTGTCAAAGAAATTTCCCAAGAGCCAATGTCCTGACTTTGCCTAAAAAATATTAAGTGACAGATCTCACCAGACCCCAGTCATTAATGTCTTTGTTTCTTCCTGTCTTGAAGAAATCAGATGGCAGTTATAGGCTTGCATAGCAAGTTCAACCATCTCCCTCCAGTAATCATGTGATTATGCGGAAAATGCGAAAGCACTTGGTTTAATTTTTATGACACTCGAAAATCTTCAATACAATCAACTTATGAACAAGTAGACTCTGCCATGGGTGTAGGCGTTGTACACTCTTCTTTTAACACGAGTACCAGAAGAGAAACACCCTGGAAAGACTTAGTTATAAATAAGGTAGTGTATTTCAAGGCAGAATTGTCAAAATGACAAAAACCGTCAGTTGTTTCTTCTTTTTTTATAAGATAATTTAATAATATATACATTTAATTATAAGAAGCTCACTCACAGCTCCTCCTTCCCAGCAAGTCTGCCTCTCAGTTTGCTTCCTCTTTTCCCAACTTGATAATTTGATAGCTGGCAAAGCTGCAAAAAACCTGCAAGTGTGGGCTGCAGGGTGGAGTGTTTTCACTACTGTCAGGAGGGTTATTTCAGAAGGTTTCCAGCTCTTCAGGTGGCCTGAATACCAAAAAAACTTGCTGCCCAAACAACAACAAAAAACCCAACCAAAAGCTCTGACTGTGCAGCCACACTCCAAGCAGGCAGCACTTCTCAGCTGGAAGTCAGGGAAAGACACACTCCTGTGTTTTTTTTAGGAAATCTTTTTTTTCCCCCTCAGCTGTATTATTAATGATGCTTACATGGCAAAACTAACAATTTTATTTCAAAGGGATACTTTATGAAGGCATGTTGCTGATTTTTCTGGCATAACAATCTATAAAGAATTAGTTAAAAAAAGGAAGGAAATCAAAAGAACTCTTAAGCACCACCAGCAGCTCATAAGGAGGTATTTAACATGCTGGGACGTTGTTTCTTCCCTTCCACTTGTCCTAATCTGGTCAGAGATTGCAAATACGGTAAGCACTGCAAACCAAAAGTACCAAAAATCTGATCAAACAACTGCCTGGCTTCTGCTTAAATGATATGGAAATACATATTTGGTTAACACACTGGCAAAATGAAGATGATATTCTGATCTTCGAATCTAGATGTTATCTATATGTTTTACTTTTTTTAAACCAAAGCTAAAAACACATCATTTTGAATACTGGCATTTCAGTCTTATTGAAATACTGGGAATGAAAGAAGTTGTGTATCAAATTCTCTTTGTGCTAGATATATGTATCTTCACTGGTATTAGTGGAGAGTTATTAAATGCCACTATTCATTGTGAGTGCATTTAATGTATTTCTTACAAAAAATTATCTACCTAAAGTTCATATTTTTGCATGGAAAAGTACTTCAGAGCCTTACTTCGATAGCAATGGCTTCTTCAACCACACTTACACATTCTGTAACAGAAGAGGTTAAATAGAACATTATACCTGGCTTGCCACTTGGCAAAATGCAGCACTGGTGACAGTATTAAAGTCACACAGGGAAGCACAACCACCTTGTTATGCCTTTCCTTCTGAAATGTTAAGCTCTTGGCACAATAGAAAAAGCTGTCCATACTGTTTCCCCACTTGAGTTTGGTCCTAAGCATGCAAAGTTTACACAATACGCAGCAGTGAACAAAGGTACCCAAGGCTGCACCCTAAAGGAACAGATACAATTATGTGACAGATCCCAATCCAGTAAACTCAAAGCCCTGCAGGATCAACACTTTTAGAAATGACTTCTAACAGTGCCTAAATTGGTATTTATACTTTTTGTAGTGATTCATGATTACTCTGTCAAGAGTGAGATCATGACACATACTTTGATTCCATAGTCAGTCTAAAAAAAAAAACTATAAAAGTTTAAATCCTCTGTGCTTTCTTTTATTATTACTAGCAGGTGATTCTAATTGAGTAAAAGCTGACCGTATTATAAGACCGTCACCTATCTTTTCTCCTTGCCCTCTCAATAAAGATGTACACACTTCCATAAAGCTGTCATTTTTCCAAGTCACTGAATCACAACTGAAGTCACAAGGAACCATGAGTTTAGCATTTCTCTACATCAAAGCACAAACATACACACCTGTAAGTATTTACACTGAAAAACACTGTCTGAAGCTCAGTACAGTAGTGTTGCACGTGCTTTGTCTAACAACTAAACAAAATATCTCTTTGATAGCCATCTTCTGTAGAGTGCTTTAAAGCTCCCAAACGTTATCCGAAAGTAAAAATCAATTGTCTCCATTTAATTAGCTATCTCTTCCGACTTTCTGTGATCAAAATGACTGAGTTAAACAAAATGGTTACTAGTAACAGGAGGCTGTAGTTAACCGGAAAGCTAAGATGGGTGTGTACATGGGGAGATCAGAAGAAAAGGATGCTGCTGCATGCTGTTTGCTTCTTCGGTGTGAATTTATTAAGGGGGGTGAAAGTAAGATGAGAAGAACTAGCAAGAATTTTAAAAGGATTAAATTCTCAGGAACCAGCTATGTCAAAGAAAAATGGAACACGGATTCAGCCCTAAAAAGATAAAATTATTCAACAATTTATTAAAATAGTTCATCATCGTAATTAAAATCCAAGTGCCTAAGAAAAAAAGTTGCACAAGAAAGGTAATTATTTATGAGGAGACTTTTAAAAGCCATTTGTTGTGAATTTAGCAGAGAATCAGTCTAAAAGAGCTGGTAATAAAAAGAAGTTATTTGTTTATTCATAAAACTTATTTTGGTCTAGCATACCGCTAAGAAACCCTAACATCTGCTCAATGGCAGCTGTAAGTAACATTAGGAACACTCAGTCAATTTATATGCTTCTTTTTTATTAAAAAATAAACAGGTCTTTTTAAATTATTCACTAGTATATTTAGATAAAATTCTGTGCTGTAGCAACGCACATTTTGTGGAGAGGCGTCTGCAAGCTTTGTATGATCATGATGATCTAAACCTTTCTACGTTTCACTGACTACTTTAGTCTTTATGTGATGTCCCACCTAATTTAGCAAATGAAAATGCAGAAAACCTAGAAGCTGAACCAGAATCACAGCTATGAATAATACAGAACACATCACTGATGCCTCAAATGCCCCATCTCCTTCTAACTTGCATGCATTCTAGTCTTATCTTCCCTCTGCTTTCCACCATTTAAAACTTACTCTCAGACAGTTGCAGCCTCTCTCTCGTTCATGCCTTTCATGCAACAGACCTTAGACAATAACCTCAGCTGGCAGAACTATTTGCTGAACTGTTGCCAAGTAAGGAATTGCAGCAATACTAGTAATTAATAATTCTTTGTTCTAATTCAAAGTATTTTCATTTTGCAAAGTGCTTTGCATATTCCCATGTTTCGCTGCAGAAACAGGGCACAAAAGGCAAAGGAACCTCTTAAATCCTCAATATTTCTCTTCATCCATCACCCTATCATGCACTCATATACTTTTTTAAGTCTTTTGCTTGAGCATTTCAACAGAAAAATACATTGCTGCCTTCCTAGGTTTCTCTCATGTATTCAATTCTTACTTCATAACAGGAGGCAAGTCTCTGCTAATGAACTCATAAGGAAGATCAAAAGCATGGAGTACCTCGATTTATTTTACTAGGATTGTTTGGTTCTACTTTTAAGCAGTAAGCCAGCATTTCTGCAGTGCACTTTGGAGACAGTTAGTTGAAAACTACGCAAGTAGTTTTTAATTCTAATTCTAATTGTAATTAGAATTGTAATTCTAATCCAGGCACTGGAAGTGGCTGAAAATGGCACTGAAGGTCCCAGACGAGCCTTCTCAAAGCTGCAACTCCACTGCGATCATAACCAAGCAAACTGCTCAGAAGCTAAATCTTCCCACATGTAACCACATCCAGAGAGGCCACAAAATGTTCCTGATTACAACAGAAATATAAGCAGTTAGTTATCAAGAGCACAGACATAGTGTCTTGTTATCAGAGTACCACATGCCAATGCTACCATTCCTCATGCTGGCATCTGGAGGCCTGGAAAAACACGGCACTTTTTCCATCACACCCCACCAAGATGCTTTCTCATCTAGAG